ATAAGGAGCCTCTGCGCGGACACAACTAACAGCTAGTTACTACTGAAAGTCTCTAAATGAAGAATTCTGAGAGGAAATCCTATAGCTCAGGTGTCAGCCAAGATCAGCTTTCTTAGGGAGCTAAATAAAATTGGCTCCAACCTCCATCCTACAACTGGTGGGAAATTCAAGCTCTCCCCATTTCCACATCCATCACCAACTCCTCTGGATTCTGTCCTGGGTAGGGTGAAGGGCTTATGTCCTAGGGGTCATGCCTGGACCTGAATTCCTGCTTCTTTTGAAGTCTGTAGCACTATGCCTCACATCTTACAGACAATTCCTTGTGCAGTGCTGACCAAAGTGTACAATGTAGCTCCTGTTTGGGTTTTCTTTCCCCATCACATAAGTTGAAAAAAGTATTTGTGTGGATGGAGGACTTAAGGTTTGGGACCAGGAAGAGGGATTTACGGAAAACAAAGCAAACAGGTCAGGGGTGGTGGCTCATGCCTGTAATCCCAGCACTTGGGGAGGCCAAGGTGGGTGGATCATTTGAGGCCAGGAGTTTGAGACCAGCCTGGCCAACATGGTGAAAATCCATCTCTACTAAAAATACAAAACTTAGTCAGTTGTGGTGGTGTGCACCTGTGGTCCTGGCTACTTGGGAGGCTGAGGTGGGAGTACCACTTGAACCTGGGAGGTGGAAGTTGCAGTGAGTCAAGATTGCCCACAGCACTCCAGCCTGGGCAACAGAGTGAGACCTTGTCAAAAAAAAAAAAAAAAAAAAAAAAAAAAGAAAGAAAGTAAAGAAAGCAAAGCAAAGAGTGTAACATTGAGTAGACATTCTTGTTCTTAAGAGTGATTTTCCTATATCACCTGCCCCACTCCTCCCAGGCCTTAACCTTTGTAATTGTAACCTTTATAATCTTACAATCTTTCCTGTTTTCCCACTGCCAGTTCCTATTTATTTCATGCAGAGCAGTTTTGCCTTTTTGTTTATTTGTTTTTTCTTTGCAAACTTGTCCTTAGGATCCTACGTATTTTCCTGAACAAAGATAGTTGTCTGTCTAAGAAAAAAAGCTGGCTTTTTAACAGCTGGCATTAGTTGTCTCTCTAAAGCCAGCTGTTAAAAAAGTAAACATTTCACATTGATTCAGGTGATTACAGTAAGGAAATCTGAGAAGATCTCTTGGAGGTGGAGAAGAGATGGACTTCAAGAAGTGGGGGCTGCATCCCCAGTGTCCAGAGACATCATGGAGCATCATGTTTACCAGGGACTGGGAGGAGGCTGAGTTGTTTAAAACTGATGGTTTGGGTGGGATGCGGTGGCTCATGCCTGTAATCTCAGCACTTTGGGAGGCTGAGGTGGGTCGATCACCTGAGGTCAGGAGTTTGAGACCAGCTTGGGCAACATGGTGAAAACCCGTCTCTACTGAAAATATAAAAATTAGCCAGTGTGGTAGTGGGCACCTGTAATCCAGCTACTTGGGAGGCTGAGGCAGGAGAACCATTTGAACCTGGGAGTTGGAGGTTGCAGTGAGCTGAGATCGCACCACTGCACTCCAGCCTGGGCGACATAGTGAGACTCCGTCTCAAAAATAAGTAAATAAATAAGGAAAAAAACTGATGGTTTGTATTTGTAAATAGCAGAGGAATAATTTGGTTATAGAGGTGCATAGGAAGGGGCATGATGGGGCAGTTACAGAGAATTTTAGAAGCTTAATCCTGTAAGTAATAAGAGTTTCTGGAGGATTTGGGGCAGGGATGTGATAAGATTAGATTTTAGAATTCAGGGAGAACATTTTGCTGGGGTGATTGGGTGGGCTCTGTGGCAGACTTCAAGCTGCCCATCAACCCCTATTCTTTCTTCCTTTCTTTACTCACAGAGCTCCTGAGGTTTAGTTGAACACAACCATTGCGCCAGCCTCTCCGGCAGCTGTATGTGCACATTGGCTAAATTCTAGCCAATGGGATGCAGAAGAAGTGATGTGTGCTTTTTCTAGGATTGTCCAAAACATGCATCATTCTCCAATAAAAAGAAATAAAGCTTCTTGCAGAAATGGTTGCTTCTAGGACTGGGCGGGAGAAGTGCAAGATGAGTCTGGAATACCTTGCTGTGCCAGAAAGTGAGGAAACACTCAAAGAACGGTAGGAGCCTGTTAAAAACACACAGGAACCAGCCCGAAGTGCCCCCTGGCCAAATCTGGGGCAATTTGAGCAACAAAATTATTATAGTACAGGAATATAACCCATAGAATAAAAAAGAGAATATGAGTCACTTAGAATATAGATAAATAAAGTAATTAATAAAATAAAGGTGGGGGAAGAAAAATTCTTTTTTGTAATAGAATTCTATGTAATAAACATAAAAAGAAAGATGAGATAAGGAAAATCACCATCTGGCGGCCACCATACTAATAATTGTTTTGGGCAAGAGTCAACAATGGGTGTTAACACTAGTGGGTGAAAATTTAAAAAGAAGCAGAATATTTACATGGTTTAAAAAATCATCCCATAATATACTTGTTAAATAAAAGCGGACAAATATTTACTATGGAGAAACCTGGAAGATATCACCCTAGCCAAGTGAGCCAAGGTAACGTCACCAACATTGGGACAGACTGCTACCAAGCGTCTCCCAATGTGATGGATCAAAGACATGCCACTTCTGTGGCTGCCTGCCGAAAATGCACAGCCTAGATCTATGCATAAAGAAACACCACAAATGCAAACGGAGGACATTCTTTAAGACAACTGATGTTTTCTCCTCAAAAATATCAAGGTCATAAAAGATAAAGACTGAAGAACTATTTCAATATAAGAAAATTTTAAATGCAGGACAACTAAATGCAATTAATTATCCTGGATTGAATCCAGAGCCAATTAGTTATTTTTCTTTTGCTATAAAGGACATTAGAGAAACAATCAATGGAATTTGAATATAGTCTGTAAATTAGACAATAGTATTATGTCAGTGTCAATTCCTGATTTTGATCATTGTATTGAGGTTATGGAAGAATATGCCCTTGTTGGGAAATACTCCATACTGAAGTTTTTTAGACATAAAGGGGTAAAGAGATAAATCATATCTTTAATTTGCTCTCAAATGTTTTCAGGGAATGCTATTAAGAGAGAATGAATGATAAAGCAAATATGATAAAATGTTAACCTTGAAGAATGTGAGTGAAGGGTATATGGGGAATCTTTTAATATTTTTACAATTTTTCTGGAAGTCTGAGTTTGACTTGAAGAAAATTATAAAATAAGTTTTTGTTTTTGTGTTTGTAAGGAATGAGCATGCATTTCCATCTGCCCTTATCCCTTTACCCTTCCTATTGGCTGGGAAATGATGGCCCTAGAGAGTGGCTGGTGTGTGCTGTGGACGGCGACACTGCCCACCAGCCCCGGGCCACTGTGTTCAACTGTTATGTGAGAGAAATCGCCTGTGGTGTTAAGCCACTGCATTGGAGGGTCTCTTTGTTACAGCTCCATGTTCTGCAGCTAACTAATACTGGCTGTTAATAAGGAGAGGCTGGAGGAAGGTGGCTTCTTAGGAGCTTGGTGCACTGGTTTAGTTACTCCTATTGAGGGTATGGAAGAGGGAGCCATGGAGAGAGTTGGTGAAGACCACTCATTTGAGGAGAATTAGTGAAATGAAATTAAGGAGAGCAACTTGAAGGTGCAACAGAGTCTTAGGATCCTCTAGGAGAGATTTTCCCTCTTAAGAAGCAGAGAAAAAAGTCCAAGGGAGAAAAGAGATGTTTGGGAGTTGGGGATTTTTCTGGTGACCCTGGTTTATACTCCACTGGTCACCTCTGCATATAGCTGGTCCAGATTCCAGGGACAGAGAGCAGAACAATTTGTGGTTGTAAGTGAAGGGCAGAGAATTATAAACCCAACTGGATTGAGGGGGAGAGGATCAAATACGATTTAGTGGGATACATAAGGAGAATTAAAAAATGATAGTAGCAGGTAATCTTAACTAAGTCCTCACGGTGTCCTTGGGACTAGTCTAAGTTCTTTACCCCATCTACTCATTTGAACCTCACAATAGCCATAAGACACTATTCCTATTTTATAGTAAAGCAAGCTCAACCACAAAGAAGTTGTCAAAGTTGCAAATAACAGACACAAGCCTCAGATATGGGCAACCTGCCTCTGCCCCCCACCTCCAATTTCTTGGGGCCACTCTTTGGTCCCCTCTCTCTCCTTCTCCTTTCCCTCCAGCAGCATTTGATGCTGACACACGTGAACCGGAAACATATGGGGTCCTTCATTTTGTTGTGGATCTGCACTCCAGAATCTACTTCCCGCAGAGCAGGAGAGGGACGGGGGTGTAAGGAAGGGCGGCAGGTGTCAGCCCATGCCTTATTGAAATGGCTCTGGTTCATAGGAAGGATGAAGGCCTGTCCATCTGAAGACAAAAGGGGAAGGGCAGCTAGAAAGGGGAGTGACTATTCTTCCCTGGTTTTGGAGCTCTTGTACTGTTGGTGTGTGGGAGGCATTTGGGATGGGGTGAGGGTCGGAGTGGGCTTGTGGGACTGAATGTCCCCAGTCTGCTATTCCTGCTACTCACAAACGTGAGATGATGGAGGAAGGAGGGAAGTCAGAAGTGCTTCTGTCTCTGAGGGTCTCTGCTCATTTCTTTCTGTGCTAAAGGCTTTTTCCCATTTTAAAAGCCTGAAACAGGAAAAAGAGAAAGAAAGTTTGTAAATGCACTTTTGAACCCCGAGACCCAGCTCCTGGCCAGGAGACAGGCAAACTCTTTTAATATCCTTATTCTGGATCCACTTGAATAGAAATAGCCTCCAGTATTTTTAGCTGCTGTGTAATCAAAGTGAAAAAGAAGAAGGAAATATATATATTTTTCTTTCCAAGTTAGAATAAGAGAAGGAATTGCTCATTACCTTTTAACGGAGTCCCTGCTGGGTAGGGAGGAAAACACGCAGGAGTCTCTGTTGGCTCCTCCTCTGGCCTAGACAGGATTTAAACCCAGGGAGGGAAGCCAAGGAGAGTAGAGAACCAGGGACGATCTACAGTGGGAGGAGACCAGCTGACAGGAGCAGCAGCATTGGAACAGGCACCCTGCAGCCTTCCAGGTAAGAGTGCTAGCTGCCCAAGATTTACTTACTGGAGGGAGGAACGTGGCCAGTGTGGACGAGATCAAAATTGGAGGTTCAGGTGCCTCAGATCTCGACCCCGAAAATCAGGGCAGTGTAGTCTCCTATCACCTCCATGAAGAGTTAAAACGAATTGAGAAGTACCTCCCCAGGACCTGTGTACTGCGTCCTCAGTATTGTACCCCAATCCCAGACAGGGCTAAGGGTAGTTATCTTCTTACCCCACCAGATGTGGTCCGTGTTGTATCAGTTTCTACCCGGAGTAACACATTTTGTATAAAATGTTTCCTTTAAGATGTTTCTTCTCATCTGTTTTTCTTTTTTAACTTCTTTACAACATCAAAGCTTTCTCTCTCTCTTTAATTGGATAGTTTGGTATCTGTTATATTTCATTATTCTTTTAAATCCTAAAACAGAACTTTAAACATTATTCATTTAAATCCTAAAACATAATTTGTTTAATTATGATTAATTTAGTTATGGTTAGGAAGCTGTGATAACTTCCCTTTTCCTGGATTTTGTGTGAATCAGTTAAGGGGATGTTTGCAAATGTATTTGAACAGCTTTGAAGTACATCCAGACGTTTAGTTTTAATTATTATTTGTTAAGATGACAACTTCTTTCCAAATCCCCATACTTCAAAGAAAACATTTCAAGGCATCTCAAAAAATGATGTGGTTAAACTAGTTTTTGGAGGTCTTGTGTTTTTTTTTTTTTGAGACAGAGTCTTGCTCTGTTGCCAGGCTGGAGTGCAGTGGCACAATCTTGGCTCACTGCAACCCCCACCTCCCAGATTCAAGCCTCCCGGGTAGCTGGGACTACAGGTGCATGTCCCCACACCCAGCTAAATTTATTTATTTATTTTTTTAATTTTTAGTAGAGACGGGGTTTTACCATGTTGGCCAGGATGGTCTCGATCTCTTGACCTCGTGATCTGCCTGCCTCAGCCTCCCAAAGTGCTGGGATTACAGGCTTGAGCCACCGCGCCTGGCCGGAGGTCTTACTTTTTACTTATTTATTAATTTTTGTGCTTGGGAGAGATCTGGGGGAAGGACAGAGAAAGAATGAATGAGAACAGGCAGGGCTTCAGGGTTTCACTTAAAAGAATGAAACCTGAGTTGCTTATATAAGCATTAAAGAAAACAAAGAAGAACAAGCTCCAACATGAGAGTAATAAACTACCCACATCTGGACACAGGTTAGCCACAGTGCCTAAAATCCAGTGGTTCCTGGAAAAGCTGAGGACTCACCAAGGCATCAGGTGATACTTTGCTTGGTCAGGGCTATATATTGGTAGCTGGCATGGAAAGAATCAGTGCCTCTTGACATTCCGACATTTGTTGGAGACTCAGAATCAAGGTGAGTGTCGGACACAGGAAGAAATACAGTATCAACACTGATAACAATTTTCCTGGAGAGAGGGGAAGAAGGCACCTGGCATTCTTTCATATTCTAAGTCCTGCGATGTCCCCACGTTTGTGGGTTGCAGCTGACTCCCGATGGAGGGAAAATAGAACAAATGATTTCAAACCATCCTGTGGCTTCTAGTTTTCCAGTCCAGTGCTGCTCTGTGGTTTGAAACGTAGGCTAGGCCGAGCTCTGTTTCTGAGAAGATGCCTGAGGAAATTGTGCCCAAGCCCAGTGGAAAAATTTGTTCATTCACTGCTCATTCCAGAGGCTTGGCTCCTGTAGGATCTGAATACAGACATGAGATCATGGTTTAGGTCCTGTAGCAGCATCTGGAGTCACCAGTCTGTGAGCTGAGGATGCTGAGATCTCAGGCCTGATCCCTAGATGGACAGGGGCTTTGCTGCTTTCACCACGATGGACTCACTGCGGATGCTGCCCAGTCACCATTTGAATCTGTACCCAGCGCATGTGGGTAGAACAGCGCAAATGCTTGGAAGTTAGCAAATGCTCTCCTCCTTGCTAGAAGACTAGAACTTTAAAGCTACTTCAATACATAAAAAAAACTATGTGTTAACTAAAGAAAGAAATTGCAGAGTTTTTTGTTTGTTTTGTTTTGTTTTAATCTGATGCTCCTCACACCCATGGGGATTAGGGCTAATCGTATACAAAGTAATACTTAGCCATTCTGGGGACTGGCTGTTTGGCTGAATATGGGAGAGGAAGGCTCCTGAATTTAGGTCCTGTGTCTTTTTTATCTTGTTGTTGTGCATGAGCTTGGTTCCACAAAAGCTAAAGGAAGTTCTTTCTATGAGAAAGTGATTCATCCTCTGGGGGTAAATGAACATCTTCGCCTGATGTTCAAGAGGAGATGTTAAAGTGCTTTGCACAGATGCATAGAAAATGGTAGCTACCATGATGATCACCCATTTGAGTGTTTGCAAGGCAGATTAAGAGGCAGTTGTCAAAACAAAACGAGCCCGTGGCTACCCCTGAAAAAGTGACTGAGAGCTGAGGCTGGTCAGAGACCCATTCTTGATCTTTTCTAGTCTCAGGTAGGTGGTCAGACTTGATGGGGCAGCTCTCCAGGAAAAGGATTCCAGGACGGTGGTGTGGGAGTCACCTTCAAGGACTTCCTGGGCACTCCCTGGGTGTCCCACAGAACTGGGAGAATGGGGAGGACAGAGTGATGCCCAGAATGTGACCATACTAAGCCCTATCACATAAAGCCAAACTTTCATTCTCGTCCACACCTAGCTGTCTTGTATCCTGTATGCAATGCTTGCACAGAGTTCAATGTCACAAAGACTAGAAATAAAAACTTTGTATGTACTTGCTTGCACTGGAGTTTAACCTAGGAGAGACAGACCTCCCTTGTACATCCATGCTCTTGCATGCTCTCCTTCTCTGAAGGAGAAAGAGATACAGAGATGAAATCGGTCTCCTGAGCCTCCAGTTCAAGGTGGGTTGAGCCAGGGTAGATTCCTCGGCCAGCTGAGAACTTGCTGTAATGGAACAAGTTAGCTGGGGAGTACAGGGAAGACCCCTGAGTCACTCAGGGCCCAAGCTGTAGATCATTAGCAAAATATGCCCAAGAGAGTTAAGGAAGGAGTGACAAGTTTGCCAGTGACACTTGTGACATTGAGGCATCCCTAGCTACTCATCTCCCTCATTTTCCTTCAAAGTTTAATGATATCTACCCTGTCATTTGTGGATAGAATATCTTCGTAAGTGACTCTGCTGGAAATCCACGATGATACACTTTTTCTAAAACCCAAAGCAGTGTTTTCATTTCCTTGTGGTTAACTGGTGAGGCAGGATGAGATAATAAGGGAACCAGAGAAAGCCCTGAATTTAAGTATAAAGGTCTGTAACAGTGGCTAGAAATTGGCTACCTCTCTTCTTTGGTATAAGTAGCATTTTTTTTTCCCGTTACCCAGGGTGTGTATCCTTCTTTGGGGAAAATGAGGTAACACAGAGACCATCCACCCCTGGGGTCCAAGAGGACCATCAGGATTCAGGGGCCATCCTCCTTCCTTGGCCAAGGCTTGGTCGCCATCTGCCCCTGCAGACAGAAGTCTTTGTACACTTTGGTGTTTCCTAGGAAGGGAATTCTCCAGCTTCTAGTGAGAAGCAACTGGGACTTAACCTCCCTGTGGGGGAACACAAGTCATGTCCCCAAGGGATCACCCTTGGCACCCCTCAGAGGAAGTACAGGCACAGGATTTAGTTATTGATGTATTAATTTTTAACTGAAAACCCAATATGCCTTGGATTCCTTTTATTTTTAGGAAAAACCCTCTCTGAAAAACATGTGGCAGAAAGGAGGACATTTGGTGTTTTTTGTTTTGTTTTGATTTTATTTTGTATAAAATAAAAAACAGGACATATAACAGAGAGAGAAAGAACACACACACGGGCAGTGGACAGACCTGGTGTGTGATTCCAGCTCTACTGCTTACTAGCTGTGTGTCCTTTGGCAAATTACTTAAATTCTCCGAGCACCTGTCACAAAGAATATCAACTGATTCCTAGGATTTTGAGGATTAAATAATTTTTATAGCGTTTGGCACAATGTCCATTATCTAATAAGAACAGACACACACACACACACACACACACACACACACACACACACACACATCCAGTGGCTATTACTATTTACTTCACAAAATATTACCTTGGTAGGATTGTGCTGTGAGGCTGGGGATACAGAGGGAATCAACACAAACACGGCCACTGTCATCTCTGAGCTCAAAGGGATGCCTGGGCGAGGAACATGCATACAGATTTGGTGGCTGTCAATATTTGGCTAGAAATGAAAGCCACAGGGGTAGATGCAGATACCGAGAGAGAACACAGCAGAAGCTTAGAGCCCTTGCAACATCTGAAGGCAGAAGTAAGGGGGACCATCCATATAGCCCATGATCAGTCATGTGCCCTTCAAAGAGCCTTTCTGGTAAAAGCAATACAAGGCAGCATTTGTTCCTGAGTCTCACTGTATCTCTGCCTCCCACCCTCCCACACCATCCAACACCCCTCCTGCAGTCAGAATTAAAGACCTGATTAGCCTCTGTAAGACAATGATTCTCGGGAACAACTGATTTCCTGTGGTTCCTGCATACATATTTCCTGCGTGTAAATGCCCCCCACTTCATGCATCTGTGCAGAATTTATCCCACTTTCCATGGGAAAATACCCCTCAGAAGAATAATCCTCCTTATTTGGAAATGCATCACCCTGCGTTTTGCTTGGGAAAATCTGCTGCCCTCCCTGCCCGCTCCCCACCCTCGCGGAGCTCAGCCTGTGGTTTGCTGTGCATACTGAAAGAGTCGATGAAGTCATCCTTCTCTTCTGTTAAACATGGAGTCTCTCCCCTGCCACGTGTTGGAGGGAGAGCCAGCAGGCTTCTCTTCTTGCTCATTACACTTGACAGAGTGTTAGGTTGAGGATTTCCCTTGCTCTCATCTTCTTTCGAGCAATCATCCTACCCAGGAAAATCTGAGTGCAACTTGTGGAATCTGAGACACAGTAATTAGTGAGGACATCTTGTTACAAATCAGAAGGACAGGCAACACCAAGGGCTCCAACAGGGGTTTCTGGGGTTTCTCATATTCCAGGGTACAAAAACAAACACTGTAGACCTAGGCTCTGGGCAGCCTAGCTGTGGTTTATGGCAAGAGTCCATGGCTTTTTTTTTTTTTTTTTTGTTCGTTGAGAACTTCTTCAGAAAACCATCTGCACTCCATTTATGTCTCAGGCTAGGAGTGGGGGCTGGGATGGAAGGCATGGGCAGAGAAGTCTGCTTTTTCAGCTCTATTTTTGCTCAGGAAGAAGATTTAGGACAGTGAAAATTCATATGCTGTCATGACCACAGTAGGTGCTTCAGAGATCAATATGTGTTGTTACTGGGAATGGCAGAAGTGCACTGGGGTTAATGGCTGGATACTGTGCACCTGGGGTTGCATCTGTGGCTGTGGGCTCATCAACTGCATAATCAGGGCACGGTGTTCAATGCCATTGAATGCCACTGAGCCTCCATTCCTATCCTGGGGATTAAGTGGAGAAGAGTGTGTGACTTTTATCTTTGGGCTGAATGTCTAAGGGTGGCCATTGTGTGAAATATCATTTTTATTATTATTTATTTATTTTATTCACTTTTTTTGAGACAGAGTCTCGCTCTGTCATCCAGGCTGGAGTGCAATGGCATGATCTTGACTTGCTGTAACTTCTACCTCCTGAGTTCAAGTGATCCTCCTGCCTCAGCATCCTGAGTAGCTGGGATTACAGGCACGTGCCAACATGCCCTGTTAATTTTTGTATTTTTAGTAGAGATGGGGTTTCACCATGTTGTCCAGGATGGTCTTGAACTCTTGACTTTGTGATCCGCCCACCTTGGCCTCCCAAAATGCTGGGATTACAGGCATGAGCTACAGTGCCTGGCAGAAATATCATTAATCCTACACCTGCCTTCCAAGTCATATTCCTGGCTCTCCCACTCCCCCAATCCTCTGATAAAAGTCTCAAGCAGATTCCAGAGCTTTTCTGGTGGACTTTGGTCTTAGAATTGCTTTTGTGAAGGGAAGTCCATTTCAGTTTTGAGCCTCAGTCTCTCATCCAGGCCACATCTTTTCTTCTTGCTCAGCTCAGGCCTGATGCTGGAACCTGCAGAGAAGGCGGAGGGCAGAGGTCTGGTGCTTTCCTCCCTCCACTTCTCTCCCCAGTATGCATGGCTCTCTCTCCCCAACATGCAGGGTGCTTTTGGCTTCACCAGGTTGCTGCTGCCTGGGGCAAGGTGGGGGTTAGAAAGGAAGGGAAAGGGCACTTTTATTTTTTTTTTAACTGGGGCTGTGGTTGTTCCCTCTCGTATTGGATGCTCTTGTTACGGTGGATGTTCCCAGTGTGGGCCACCCCTCCTTTGTGGGGAGCTTCCGTGGGATCTTTAGATATTCTCCTTCCCACCCAATGGGTCTGTCCTCCATAGTGGCCCCCTGGGGCGGCATACTCCTGCTGAGCCGTGGATCTACAACTCAGCTCGGGGCCTCAACTGCCCTCTTGGCAGCTCCAACGTGCCTCGTTTCTGTGTCATCAACTTGGCCTCTCCCACTGTGGCCTCCTTCCTCTCTCTGCCATGCAGCCTGTTCCAGCCAAGCTACCGCCTTTGAATTCTTCCAGGTTAGAATCAGGCACTGGTCTCTTTGCTTGCCATTCACCCTCCATTCACCCTGACCCCACCCCCAGCCCCCCTAAACCTTCAGCAGCACACTCTCTTTGAAATGTGCAGGCACAACTGGGTGCTATGGCTTATTCCTGCAATCCTAGCACTTTGGGGAGCTGAGGTGGACAAATTACTTGAGCCCAGGAGGTCGAGACTAGATTGGGCAACATGGTGAAACTCCATCTCTACAAAAAAAATACAAAAATTAGCCAGGCACTGTGGCATGCACCTGTAGTCCTGACTACTCAGGAGGCTGAGGTGGGAGGAGCACTGGAGCCCTGGAGGTGGAGGCTGCAGTGAGCCATGATCGCGCCAATGCACTCCAGCCTGGCAGCAGAACGGGGCCCTGTCTCCAAAAAAAGAAAGAGAGAAAAAGAAATGTGCAGGCACTTATTACCCATGGTTCAGTTCCCAAGACAACAAGAAGTGTCCACTGACAAGTCCATTCCGTCTGCCAGGTGTGGAGACCAGTGCCTGAAACGCAGTTAGTGCTCAGAAGAAGTGAGCTCTTACTATCAACAATACGTGTTTTTGGTGATCGGAAGAGCCATGAAGAGTGGGAGGGCAAAGGAGTAACAGGAAGGAAAACTCTTCATCGGTACCATTCTGTTTTGTTCACAGTGGTGGCACATCCCTTGAGTACATGTATAATGGATGAAACCATTGCATAGGGACATGTATCTAACTGCACTCATTTGTCCTTTGTATCAGAATGCCATATTGGCGCAGAGCAAGCATAGGCTTGCAATCAGATGGGTCTGTGTTTGAATCCTGGCTCTGCCACTTCTTAGCTGGGCAACCCCTAGCAAATGACTTTACCTCTCAGGTCTGGTTTCCTCACCTTTTGAGTGAGGAGAGGAACACTGACCTTACCGGACAGCTCTGAGGATTAATTACGAGGACTAATGCACCAGCCAATGCCTAGTACATAGCAGCAACTCAATAAATAACATTTAACATATAATACTATTGTGAATCTTCTTCTTTTATTCTGCCAGGGTTCCTCATCTCCTGTTTCTTCTACTTCCTGACACTAAATAAATGATGACTACTAAAAGTTAAACATTTTACATATTACTAGAATTTAGCTTACTGGCTAGAAATATTTATTCCTTTTCTGATCAATATAGGTGAAAGATGCCTTTCAACCTAGGCATTATTATTACCTGAGATGGAGTCTCTCTCTCCGTTGCCCAGGCTGGAGTGCAGTGGTGCAGTCTCAGCTCACTGCAGCCTCCACCTCTCAGGTTCAAGCGATTCTCTTGCCTCAGCCTCCCAAGTAGCTGGGATACCAGGCATGCGCCACTGTGTCTGGCTAATTTTTATGTTTTTAGTAGAGATGAGGTTTTGCCATGTTGGCCAGGCTGGTCTTGAACTCCTGGCTTCAAGTGATCCACCCACCTCAGCCTCCCAAAGTGTTGGGATTACAGGCATGAGCCACCATGCTTGGCCAGCATTATTCTTTATAATAAAAAAGATGAGAAAGAAAAGGAAGTCGTATTCAGTAGTTGACTGAAAACAAAATAAACCTCAATATGTTGACTGAGCCCTGATCACGTGCCAGACATGATGCTCACTGCTGTCTACATCCAAGAGGGGTGACACACTGTCATTCCCACATTACAGATGAGGAGGTGGAGAGGCTCAGGAGGAGACGCACTCTTAGGCCTGCACGTCCTAGGGCCTGTCCAAGGTGCCTTTCCATCATATCCCAACTGCCTCTCACCATGGGCAGGGAAAGCCTGGGCTCAAGCAAAACACAGACCACAGGAAAGGACTGTTTCCTGACTTCAAACTTTGGCATAAATCGTTGCAGGTCTTGGGTTGCTTACAGAAACCCATTGTCAAGAGACAGCTCTGCAGATCAGTTTCAAGATAACTGCTGCGATGTAAGCCCAACTGGGATGCATCTTGTGACTGAGGTTCTTGTGAGCAAAATGTGAGCTGAAAGCTAGGTCTCTTGTGGTCCGTCCTGCCTCGGCTTGTTAGTGTGCAAAGACTGGGCCATCCCAGATGGGGGTTGCGGGCACAGGGGAAATGGCTGGAGAGAGGAGTCATTCTGCTCATTGACAGTGGTGAAGACACTACCTCCTGGTGAGGGAGGAGGCAAAACCTAACCGCCTGCCCCACCTCGGGTTGCCTGGCTTGACTGAGAAACAGTGACCAGACCTCTCAGCATGCGTGACTGTGCCCCTGCCACAGGAGGGCGCCAAGGTAAATCAACCCAGGGTGCTGTCCTTAAGAGGCTCACAGCCTAGTGGGGAGACAAGCCATATACAAGAGTAACTGTAACACAAGGTCAATGCTCAAGAGACCAGCAGAGAGGGACGGGTCCATTTCTCTGAATGCTTAGCTGAAGCGAGGCTAGTCTCCAGCTGGGTGAGGCAGGGGGCAGCAGAGAGCACTTGGCGGAACAGGTGATTTTATTAGAAATTCTTATATTTTACTGGTTCACAAGTAGGGGTCGTGAGCAGGATGCTGGCCCTGCAGTCAGTGGATTTGGGTCTGAGTACAGGTTCTTCCCTTCTTGGCTGTGGGACTCAGGACAACTTGCTCAGTTTCGTCATCTGTGCAAAGCAGCGTGGCGCTATGGGGATGAGCAAGGACTCTGGGGTCAGATTGCCTGGGTTCAAATCCTGCCACTCTGAGCTGGGTGCCAGTTGGCGAGTCATTTAAAGTAGTAGTGCCTCAGATTCCCTATCTATAAATTGGGGTAATCATAGTATATTCCACAAAGAATTGTGAGAATGGAATGAGTTAGTAAGTGTGAAACACTTAGTACATTTAGAATAGTGTCTGTCACATAGCAAGTGCTCCATGTGCAGCTCTTATTGTTGATATTGTTAAGAGGGAGGATATTAGCGTTGCTGTAAAGGTCCAGGATTACGGGGATCAAAGCATGGCACACGATAGTCTGTCAACACAAGACAGCTGCTCTTCTTATTATTAATAAGTGCAGGTGAGCCTAGAATGAGAGGTGAAGAGAAGGGCATCTTGGGCAGTGTGAACAGCAAGCAAAGACAGGAGGCAGGACTATGCCATCTGTGAGGCAGGAACAGAAAGTAATCTGGTTGGATCCTTGGGAGAAATAGAATGAGTTCTTTCTGTTGGTTTCTCGGATTCCTGTGGGCTCTTAGAATCTGGAAAAAAGGCTAACTTCCCTCACTATATCTCCATGGCTTTCTTCTACAATGTTTCTGAATACAGGCACCCTGGAGGGTCTGCTCCCCGTCTTTCTAAGGATGAGTCTCCAGGAGATGTTCTGCTTCCCCTTGGGGCTTCTGCTTGGCTCTGTGCTCTTGGTGGCTTCCGCCCCGGCCACTCCGGAGCTTCCTGGCTGCAGCAACAAGGAGCAACAGGTCACTGTCAGCCACACCTACAAGACTGATGTGCCTAAGTCTGCCCTGGTTCAGGTGGAGGCTGACCCTCAGCCCCTCAGTGACAATGGGACTTCACTCTTGGCCCTGGGGGAGGCCAGGGAGGAACAGATAATCTTCAGGCACAACATCCGCCTTCAGATGCCGCAGAAGGACTGTGACTTGTCAACTAGTGTCCAGGACCTCCTGGCCCGTGTGAAGAAGCTGGAGGAAGAGATGATGGAGATGAAGAAACAGTGTAGTGCCCAGCGCTGCTGCCAGGGAGCTACTGGTGAGATGACCACTTGGTATTCATTCGACAAACATTTGATGAGCACCTGTTATGTGCCAGGGGTTCCATTAGCCTCGTGAGCACTTTGTGAGTCTGGTGTGCTCCTACTTTTCACTCTGAGTTTTCTCTAGCGGGCCCATCCCTGCTATTTATTCATTTATTCATTGGTGCTAGCTTCAGGGGCATCTGGAAGCTGAGCAGGGAGGGACCAGCTGCTTTTGCAGAGAGTCTAGACTCCTGGGCAATTGCTTCCAGATGGGAATGCTTCCAGGGGCTGTCAAACCTGTGAATCTAAGCTCTACTCAGAGGGGAAGCAATGGGATACACAGCAAAGACAGGGCCTTGGAGCTAGACAGGAGAGATTACAAATCCCAGTTCTACCACTTTTAGCTGTGTGACTTTGGGCAAATCTCTTATGTTTCTTCAACTGTCCAATAAGGATAATTCTATCAACTAGTATAGTTCTGAGAACTAGAGATAGTGTAGAAGATTCCTGGCCCTTAGTGGAATTTATAAATCAGCAAATTATCATTATTTTAAATAATTACAATTGTAATTGTAAATTGTAAAATAATTACAATTTAATTTTATAAATAATGAAGGTTCTCTTGCCACCCAACCCTTGTCGCTTTTAAACATATGCTGGCCAGGCTGACCCAATGATAATAAATGGTACTTTGGCATGGGATTTCACGCCTGAAGGAATTGCTATGGTTAAGAGCACCTTAACCATCAGATCCAGATCCAGAACTTGGCACCAGGGACGCTGCTATGGATAAGCAGCATGGACTTGCCTCTGAGGAACCCCCACTTTGGAAGTGTTTTTAGGAAGTGAAGAAGGTGTTCTGAGAAGCAGAAGCTGGGCCAGAGAGGAGACGGCACTGACCTGTCCGCCCTCCAGCTGCCTCTTGCTGAGTAGGGTCAGAGAGGGGAGCCTGGTTAAATCCCTTCTCCGTAGCACCCACAGTTGAGACTAGGCTATTTTGTAGCTTCTGCAGTTTCATTTTTCCAGGCTTCAGTCTGGGTTCATTTCACAAGGTCCCAGCCTTGCTAGTTCCAGCCAACTCCAACCTGCCTGGACCTCACTTTTCCCCCAGGAGTCCTGCTCTGCGGCGTCAGCCGGCCAGGGTACCACTTAAGGCCCCCCCATAGGAAGGCACTAAATAATGACCACTGTGTAGAAGGGAAGGAAGCCGCGGAATTCACATGGAAAGGGAAAGGGAAGAAGGGTGGGCCCTGCAGCCTTTTCAGGCAGAGAAAGGAGGAGATGTTTGCAGATGTCACAGATTAGAGAGCCTGGCCTGGAAAGGGCCAACACACCTTTTCTCCCTTGCAGAGCTCCGCGGTCCTCCAAAACAGAGCTGTGCAAGACCCAGAAATCACCAGCCCCACTCTTAAGGGTCTGCCGATTTCTGGAGATCTCCACACACAGCCCCTCAACCCAGCCTACTGTTTTTTCTCTCCCTCCCAGATCTGAGGCGCCACTGCAGCGGCCACGGGACCTTCTCCTTGGAGAGCTGCAGCTGCCACTGCCAGGAGGGCTGGGAGGGCGCCGCCTGCGAGCAGCAGGCCTGCCCCGGGGCATGCAGCGGCCACGGGCGCTGCGTGGACGGGCGCTGCGTGTGCCACGAGCCCTACGTGGGCGCCGACTGCGGCTATCCTGCCTGCCCTGAGAACTGCAGCGGGCACGGCCAGTGCGTGCGCGGCTTGTGCCAGTGCCACGAGGACTTCATGTCGGAGGACTGCAGCGAGCGGCGCTGTCCTGGCGACTGCAGCGGCCACGGCTTCTGCGACACGGGCGAGTGCTACTGCGAGGAGGGCTTCTCGGGCCTGGACTGTGCCCAGGGTGAGAGCGGGGGTGTGCCCTCGGGCCGCCGGACTCTTCTTTCCAATGCACCATTTAACTGTCAATGACACGTTGTCCTCTTTGGGGGTCTCTTCCTTTAGCCTGCACCAGATTGCTGAGCCCCAGCCCCAGAGCTTCTGATTCTGCGATGGGGCCTAAACATTTGCATTTCTAACAAGTTCCCAGGTGATGCAGATGCTGGTTTGAGGGCCTGACTTTGAAAACCAGAGGTCTGGTGATCTGGTGGTTGGCTGTGTGTGCACGTGTGTGGTGAGGGGTCTGTGGGATAACTTCTGGGGGTCTGGAATGATGCCTTACACAGGTCTGCGTCCCGCACATCCACCTTTATAGTGCTCAGGGAATACTCACAGGCTCTGGATTGCCTCCCTCTCTCACCCTCTGCCCTGTTCCTGTTCTGGCTGCAGTGGTCGTCCCTCAGGGCCTGCAACTGATCAAGAGCACGGAGGATTCCCTGTTGGTGAGCTGGGAGCCCTCCAGCCAGGTGGACCACTACCTCCTCAGCTACTACCCCCTGGGGAAGGAGATCTCTGGGAAGCAGATCCAAGTGCCCAAGGAGCAGCACAGCTACGAGATTCTCAATTTGCGGCCTGGAACCAAGTACATAGTCACCCTGCGTAATGTCAAGAAAGAAGTTTCTAGCAGCCCACAGCATCTACTTGCCACCACAGGTGAGGAAGCCACCCGATGCCCCAGAGTTCCAGGGAGAGGCCCCATTCCAAATGTTTTATTTCACTATTCCCATAAATACCTGTCAGGCAGTTGCTTTGATTTGGGGTCTGAAAAACACAGCTGCCACAGTCCTAGGTTCTGAAGAGTTCCAGTTCTCTCTCTTCTTCCTTTGCCCTCTGATTACTGGGTCCTTTATGCCAGTGAAGACCTGCTACATGGGGGCTCATGGGTCCCCCCATCCCTGAGATTAGTAGGGTCTGCACCCTCTCACAAGCAGTCAAAGGGTAAACCTGCAACCCCAGTCCCTCACTGAACCCCCAAGGCCATTAAGAAAGTTCAAATAAGTAATGGGTAAGAAGCTATGGAAGCCACCTGTGTCAGATTCATCTCAGTGGGAAAAACAGGACACAAATGGGTAATTGAAAAAGTTTAACAGGCTGTTCACAAAGGTGTGGGTAGGGGTTGGATGGTGAAACCCTAAGACCCGCATCAGTGAGAGTACACTCCTGCCTGGAGGGGCAAGACATGGACTTTGGTACTTGGACCCAGAGAGAGCTGTAGAAAAGAGCTGTCTGGTGGGGGTGTTTTGGTAAAGGGAGGCAGGTAGTCCACCGTGTCTCCACAGAATTCTCTGTCCTGCCCTCTGATCTGCTGGTGATTCCTGCTAGCTGAACCTAGAAGCCAGAGGGTCAGGGAAACTGGCTGACTCAATTCACAGAGATCACAGTCCGGGATACAGAACAAGATGGAGGATGGTGGAGGCTTGATCTGGAGAAACAGAGTCTCCTGTGCACCAAAATATTTAGAAGGATAAGCATCGCTGCTTACTCTTTAAACATTCTTGTTTTCTCATGAAAATTCTTAAAGCCAGTTAGATCTTCAAAGATTTGGAAAAGCGTAGTTGGTTGAATCATTCCTTCATGCAGTACATTTTTATTGAGCACCTACCCTCTGTCAAGCACTGTTCTAGGTGCGATAAAAATTCACTGCCTCCATCCTGCCCTTTCTAGGGAAAGATCTAGGAAGATCCAGATGGATTCGACTTTGGCATGCAGTTGTCTTTGCAGGGACATCAAGCTGCCTGTCCTTTTTGGTGGTGGGAATAGGGTGGAGGTAGGGCTGGGTCCGTGCTGGAAAGGGCTGCGAGAGACTTGGCCATAATGAGTGCCCCATTTGTGATTGCCTTCGTCTGCCCTCAGGCTAACGACCCCCAGGAGCACCCCTGTAGTTGAACAACTTGGGTGTCTTGATTGTTCTAGCGTGGGTGACTGCACACCATGTGAGACCATGGGGGTGTCTCAGTAATCTGTGACTGCCTCTGGTACAGATAACACTGTGTTCAAAGCCTCCCAGTACAGGCTGCAGCTGTCTGAGCTCCGGCCCGAGTGGTTTGGGTGGCTGGCCTGAGAGGTACAGTCTGGGCTTGACCAAAGTCAGTGTGGACAGGGAGGCCGCATGGCCTCTGATGGGATGGGGAGGCGGAGGCTTTCCTGAAAGACAGTCTGCGCATGGACTATGTGAAAACCAGCAGCTTATTACTTCAGTAGCTCACAGACACCTGCTGAGAACTGTGACCTGAGGCTGAAGCCAGCTCTTGAGACATCAAGAAAGGGAGCTGACTTGATAACTGACAGCCTGTCCCAGAACCTCAGAAACTCTGCTCTTCACTGCTTCCTGTCCCCCTCTCACCCCTGCCCTAGACCTTGCTGTGCTTGGCACTGCTTGGGTGACAGATGAGACGGAGAACTCCCTTGACGTGGAGTGGGAAAACCCCTCGACCGAGGTGGACTACTACAAGCTGCGATACGGACCCGTGACGGGGCAGGAGGTGGCTGAGGTCACTGTGCCCAAGAGCAGCGACCCCAAGAGTCGATATGACATCACTGGTAAGAGCCATCACTGGGATGTGTGATATTTGCTGCGGCTGCTGTGGTGGGGACAGTGTGTGCTCTGGGTGCCGTGGTGGGGACAGTGTGTGCAGAGGGCACCAGCATCTGCACTGCTCAAGTGTGCACAGAGTCCAGGGGCCTTGGGAATCACACTTGAACCTGATCCTTGAATCTCCCAGATGTGAGCCCACCTGGGAGGCCTGTAGACTCTGCCCCAGCATTCCAGAGCTCCATCTCAGAGAACCTCTTAACAGATTATATTTGTGAGATGTTCCTCAAGTCAGCAAACTCTCATGAAGACCCCGTCCTTGTCTCAGAATGGATTTGATGGTGTATAGATACTCCTTTTGGAAGAACTTGTATATTTGGGTGTGGGGGGCAGGAGGGGAGAGGGAAAGGCAGAGAGAGACAGGGAGGCAGAGAGAGAGGGAGGCAGAGAGAGAGAGAGAGAGAGAGAGAAGCAGAGAGAGAGGGAGGCA